AATCACACGGCGAAACAAAATGATGTGGTTGTTTGAGACCGGGTTTCTGTGAGGCCGTGGTATTGTTTACTCCTATCGAGCCGACTCATTCGTACCGAAGCATGGCTCTCCCACACTTAAAGTCCTATAGGATTATGCGTAATTTCCTTCGTCTATAATCTAATTAATTTGTTTATATATTCACACAAAATTGTTGTGTATAAATTTGTGTGAATATGTAATTAACTAACTAAATAAAATTGTTGTCTCCTTCTTTGAAAATAGTCCTTTTCACGAGAAGAAAATCATCTAATGTTTTATCAAGCGCAATACCCCGCGCGACGCCGGCCTGGATCAGGTTTTTTTAGTCAGTAAGAGTGTAACACTTTCCCTGTCCACAAAGTAAAAGAAGTTATTTCTACATTTTCAACCTTTAAAAAAATTACTTTCATTTACTACAACGTTCAGTAGCTGAGAGTTCAACGAAAATGACAACGAACGCTTAAAAAACCTATGGTATTAGAGATCCTTATACATGTGTTTATCAAAATGTTACTCTAAACGTACACGTAACTAAATCTTGGACAACTGCCGTAATAACCTTATTGACTACAAGCGAAATCATGATTTTGCCCTCTCAAAAAACATGCAATTCACTAACTTTACGATATATTTAATTGCTATCAAAATATGTATATATTGACTATGTCGCTGATATGTTGATAGTTTGTGTAAGTATGGGTGTGTGTGTTGACTGTGTGCTTTTACTGCAGCGTAGTCGATCTGATGGCAATCTTACATACTACTACGCCGACGTAGCAAAATTCGTAGGTAATTGCTACGCGCCGTAGCACCGACCGTAGCTCGCAATGAAACAATAAATCCAATGCATCCAATGAAACGAAACTATTTCATTTTTTCTTCTTCTCAAATAATATCTTCCATATCCCTGGGATGCGCTGAAATTCAGAGTTCGGTATTTTCATAATTGTATCTACTGTAGGTAGATCCCGGCACTGCAGTAATTGCAGCGGTTTTGAGATTTTGTTGCAGATGTGGTTAAAAAAAATAATTGCGCTGCGTCCTACTTTTTTTACATTTTTTTATTGCTTTCATGATGTACATTATTAAGTTTATATGAGCTGGTGGGGGAACAATTTTGGACCCTGCCGGATACGACAGGGACACAGCATTATAATCATTATCGGAGAGAGAATAACCAAAAAGCAAATTACGACCAACTTGCCGTGTCTTCGTAAATGATGCATTAGAATAATGACAGGCAATATAAAGGGATGAGTGGTAAAAACAAAACACGGTCGAAGAAAGAACACATTTATTTATCTCTCGATATATATAGCTATATGTCTCTTAACTACATCTACCACTCACGTATATACAAACATATAAATAGTACATCCACTTATGTATATATAAACTATTTACAAGATCGAATCCTCCTAATCAGTAGATAGCAACTAATAATTTAATATTTTCCTATGAAACCTCGCTTTAAGAAAGCCAGACTTCTTAACATTATTATGTCAATCTGCACCCCTGCTCACTGCCTTGTCAATAATCGTTATCGCTTTAGAAATGAATATTCAAAGCAATAATGATTATCAATGAGAACCGTGATTTAATCGAGAGCAGTACCTACCGATAATCATTATCGCTTTACAAACAAAATATTTTGAAACGATAATGATTATCGATACTGCTGTTGCCTTAAGGGCTTAAGGTTTTTTAGTGTCCATTTAGCAAAGGCGTGGGAATGTCTAAAGTTTTACACATAAACTCGGATTTAATGGTTACAACAATTATGTTCTAAATCTAATAGTCTGATCAATGATGATTTGATTAAATATTGTAAAACAATAAAGGCAAACAAGTACTAAATCAATTAAGTACTTTTATCGTCTTACTTACAGAAATAATAAGCGAGTTAACCCGACTAGTTTCAAGCTACGACAGGGGCTCATATTCATGATGGTGCGATCAGCACCAAACTAAACAGTTGACTGTTGGAATTTCAGCGAGTGTCGCCCATTGTTGACTTAAAACCGAACTAGCCTAGTTATTTTGACAAACAGTAAAGTAAGTAAGCCGATTAACAAAATTAATTAATTTAATATGTCTTATGGAATTTACACAATATAAAAACTACGTATGTATTAAAGATTGTATTTGAATACACTTTCAATGAAAATCATGTCTGAAATTCTTGCTTAGAATGTGGAGTGATACCACGGCCTCAAAGAAAACCTGCGTGTAACAACCACGGCGTTGTGTTTCGCCGTGTGAGTGAGGTTACCGGGGGCTCAATCCTTCTCCTAACTCCATAACTTACACAACCCTTTATCTTCTTGCATTTCGTGTGGTGTTGTGGGTATCCAAGGGCGGGGATTGCATACCATCAGGTAATCAATGTGCTTGTTGACTGCAGTATCACATAAGAAAAACAAACGCATATATTTCGTAGGTATGTGTGTATGATTTTGTTTATGTTAGATATTACTTAGCTCTTATCAATCTTTATCATTTTATTAAACGACTTATTATATTATTGTAATATTAATTAAAATTATATAACTTAAGAATAGGTTTATTTACAGTTCAATTTCTTCATGGCTTATCGAAATAGTGTTGAGTGTAACTTGTGAAAAAAGTTTTTATAGGTAGTTTTTTTTTTTTGTGAAACGCTACTTTGCATACTCAAAGAGGTTTTGTTACTCAAAAATATTGCCTAGAAAAGATTTTTATTGGAAAGGACTGAGTTGAGTACTGATTAAATTACTCATGTTTGTTAACCTGTTGTTAACCAAAAATTCAACCGATTTTTAACCTTATGCGTAAAGGAATAAGACACAAAGCTCTACAAACAGTTAAGTTTATGCGTGTTTTTTTTAACCATATAATAATGAAATTGTAGAAGTTTTTTAAAAACAGAAGGTAAACTTTTGGAATTTATTTCTAAATTATATAGTATACACTATAAGTACAATATTTACATAATTTCCTACGAAATATTTTAAAATAAATTAATTTTAAGTTGCATTTATTTATGTATATCGTGGCGTTTTATATGAATAGGTAGAGACAGGTGAACATCTAGCTGAAACACCACTATAAACTGACCGAAGAATACGAGGAAAGGTCATACAATCTGAGATCAAGGTATATTGGATTATTGAAACTATGTGGAGTCCATATGAAACTAAAATTAAATCGTGTTACAGAAAAATTTTAATAACCGAACGTTGGAAAAAATAACTTATTATCAATGAAATAAGATTAATTTTCATGAATAAGAAATATCATTCCCATGACGTGTTTTCTCTATTTAAGTAACAGACATATTATTATCTGAATCAACTAGTTGAATTAGCCATTAAATTAATTGTCGTTCGAATTAATGATAGAATTCCTAAATCAGGCTCACAGTTCAAGGATGATTGACATGAAACCGAGTTGTTACCAGAATAACCAGTTAGGATATGTTAGAAATCAGCCGGGGTTGCGGGTTAAGCGCAATGAGGCATCGCGGCCTCGGCCCAGAGCAGGAGAAAGAACAGGGGCGTTTTTAGTCAGTAAGAGTCTGACACTCCCTCTTAGCCCACCCGAGGAGTACCTAAGTCATTTAGTAATTTTTTCAAGTCAAAGAAAAATTTTATCATCAATTATGGCGAGATGAATTGAGCAACCAAACGTATCTACATGTATAAGTATCATATATATATATTAATACCTAGGTACAATTATATGTATATACTACACAAGCCTTATATACTAATATTTACAAATAAGTATTGCTTTGATACACAAATCACATGGAAATGAAACAGATGTTAAGTGCATTGTTCAATAATAAACTCTTAGTCTAACAGAGTAAGATACATTTTTGTAAAACCATGTCTTTAAATAGTTTGTAAATGGAATGTAGTAGTCATCTTTCATAGTTGCAAAATCAATCTTAATCTGTTACTCATACGGTATAATTTTGTTTGGGACAATATTTGTATCTACCATATTATAATTTATAAACCAAACAATGACTAATCCGCTACTAACACATCAAAAAATTTACATTATTAAGCACAATTTCTTTATCTATTAAAAATAACGACTTAATCACGTGACTTAACCGAAAAAAGGTCTACTACGAGTAATTTCAAGTTAGAACGGGACTCTTATTCATGAGCGCGGTCAGCGTCGCGCCGAACATCGCGCAGCCGATTATGAGTCGTAAGAGACGGGAGTAAGTCATTATTTTCAATTACTTTAGTATGTTTCACGATAGTTATTATTTATAAATTTGTTTCTTGTACATAAGTAACATTGTATAGAGGTGAAAAAAATAAGTAAATAAATGTCGTGGTGGTCCGTAGGTTAAAGCTCCCGCTTCTCTTCTCCCGGGTGCGGTTTTGAAACCTGGCAAGTACCAATGTAACTTTTTCCGAGTTATATGTACTTTCTATGATTATTTAGACACCACTGACAAACGGTGGAGGTAAAAATCGTGAGGAAACCTAGACTTATAATTTCTAATTACAAGTTTGAAATCGCCAACCCGCATTGAGAAAGCGTGGTGATTAATGCTCTAACCTTCTCCGTGTGAGAAGAGGCCTTTGCTCAGCAGTGGGCAGTTATATGATGATGATGATGATAAAGAAAATAAGTAGGGCTTAAACAAATCCAGAACTGGCTTAAATTAAATACCACATAAGAATTAAATGTACCGCAGCCCCTGATCTGGAGCAGAAGAAGGAACAGGGTGGATTTTAGTCAGTAAGAGTCTGACACTCACACAGGGCAAGAGAAGCCATTTGTATCTATAACCTCTTTAAAAAAGAGTTCAATTTACTACAACACTCACCAGCTAAGAGTTCAACGAAAAATGAAAACGAACCCTTAAAAAACCTACGCTTTTAGAGATCCTTAAACATATGTATATTAAAATGTTCATCTTAAATCTTAGACAACTGACTTAATAACCTTATTAAATTATTATTTTAATTATATTAGACCATCTGTAATCCTTTATTGAGACTTTCTACATGTTCCTTCGCTTTCATGCGAAGCGCTGCAATGGAAGATGACCGCGGGTCCGGGGGGGCGCCACTTGTCGCCGGCGCTGGTGGCGTAAGGTAACTTGGGTAGCCAGACGGGGGATGGCTCAGGAAACCTGAGGAATATTGGAGCTTTATTTAGTACGCTATAACCGCTCGTAGTATACTTGATTGAAGGACTTATCTATAACAATATACTTAACAAAAACACATCGACTTCAAAGAGTGAAAAAAAGGCAAAAAAATAATTAAGTTGATTACAAAATAATACGTATTTATATTTATATAAGGGTTGAAATTTGTTGCTGTCACTGTCTTATACAAACATTCTGACGAGACAGCATCATAATTATTCCCCAGATAAAATTTTATATAACCATTGAAAAATCAGCCCTAAATAAATTGTTTTTAATTTTGAAATCTTCTTATGTATCTACTGACCAATTAAACTCAGTCATATTAAAATCATCAAAATCGGTTCATAAAGGACGGAGTTATCCGCGAACAAAACATGAAAAAAATAAATATTCAAGGTCGAATTGAGAAACATGTTGCTTGTGGAAGGAATGAAGCAAAAACTTTCGAAAATCCAAACTATAATGTTTTGAATGCAAAAGTAACTCTGTCTGTCTTTTCAACACGCCTAAACTACTGAACCTATTTGTGTGAAATTTGGTTCAGATATAGTTTGGAACTCAAGAAAGGACTTAGGATAGTAAAATCTGCAGGAAATCACTATTCCATGCGATCAAAGTCGCGGGCAAAAGCTAGTACAAGGTAAATGTGACGGAAATTGTGAGACCATTGTTAAAGAATTTGACAGATACGTTTGTCTCCAAAAACATCAAGAAATGATTTTGGTACAAGTTTTCTGCATACCTGGTAATGCTGTGAGCAAAGGAGGTGCTAGCCAGGGATCCACTGGCAGTCCCAAGCCCCCGAGCCGTGGAATGCCACCTCCTGCCCCACATCCGTACTCCGAAAGACCAAGCCGAGCCGCCTCCATCTTCTCCTGGCGACGCCATTTTGCACGACGATTTTGGAACCATACCTGTAAAAAAGAAATAAATTTAAATAAGTGTGGAAGAGCCATGCTTCTGCACGAATGGGTCGTCTCGACCGGATACCACGGCCTCAAAGAAAACTGGCGTGAAACAACCACAGCGTTGTGTTTCACCGTGTGAGTGAGGTTACTGGAAGCCTAGTCCCTGCCCCTCCAGTTTTTCCTACCCAATCTCTAAATCCCCAAAAGGTCGACAACGCACTCGTCACTCTCCCGTTGTTGCGGATGTCCATGGGCGGCGCTGATTGCTTACCACCAGGTAATCCGACTACTCGTTTGCCATCCTATGACATAAATAAAAAAGTATTTTAAAAGTAGTAATAATCCTATCAGTTCCATTACCATGATAATTCCCCCAAGTTTATTGTAATTTAAATAGTGTTAAAGCAGTTATCGTGAAAATTATAGTCTGTAACAAAATTTGTTTATCGGTATGAACGTACCACCTATTAGAACATCAAAGTTTACGAGCCACGCCAATAGAACCCCTAAAAGGTTTGCTTTCGAACAATAAATCAGTGAGTGAACACGTCACTTATAAACAGTTTGTGGAGGCAGACATAACAAAACTTACTTTGAATACGGCAAAGCATGAAACACGAACTCAATCACATAAATGGTGTGCCATCATTGTGCCATCCACCCTAGAGGTTCAGTCGCGGCGTCGCACTATAAATTCTATTTTAACAAAAATAAAGTTTACTTTAGATTATTAGAGGGGAAGATGTATGGCATGAATGTGGTGTCGAATTGTAGTGTGAAATGATATATTCAACCGGGGTCGTTTGAACAGTAAAAATACGCACGGTTCGCGTGACCGTTTCGATTTCAGTGCAGGAGACAGCAGGTTAGGGGCATGCGATGTTTCATAGCTAACCTGTCACAAGTATTAAATTTGTTCAACAGTGAAATATCAGAAATCGTTACGATTTTGTCGGTTGTCAACTATACTTGTCGTAGACAGAAATGTCGTTTAGTTTCGGATTCGTAAATGCAACACAATTGTGTTGAAGAAAATTTGACTGCTTTTTTCTTTTAGAGGAGAAAATCATCAAATTATTTATCTTGCCATGGGTAGGGCGAGATTTAGTGTCAGACTTTCCACTACATACTAAGTATAAAACAGTCTAAGTCAGGCCTTATTATAAAACAATGCTTTTCTATAGTGTAGGTCTAAACCATTGAGCTCGTTTTTGTATTTCAAATTGAAGGTAGGTGAAGACAAGATTCAAAATACAAAAACTTACTTAAAAGTTTAAACTTTGACTAAAGAATTAAAGATACATCTTATCTATTACTATAGATATATATAATCTATCCTAATATTATAAAGAGCTAAAATTTGTACGTTTGTATGTAGGGGTAAACTTTGGAACCGCTGGTCGAATTGCCAAAATTCTTTCACTGATTGGTAGCTACGATGTTCCTGGGTGCTATAGGCTATAAAACATCGCGCTACGATTAAATGGAGCCGAGCAGCGGGTGAAACCGCGTGAGAGTAGCTAGTAATATTATAAAGCTGTCCAGTGTCTTTGTTTGAACGCGCTTATCTCCGGAACTACTGGTTCGAATTGAACAATTCATTTTGTGTTTGTTAGTCCATTTATCGTAGAAGGCTATAGGATAAAACATCACGCTACGATATGTAGGAGCCAAGCAGCGGGTAAAACCGCGCGACAGTAGCTAGTTTTTTTAATAAAGGGCAAGAAGTTTACTGATGTTAAAACTTTCTTTAAGAATATCAAAATCATTATTGAATATAGTGTAAGATCTTTTAATGTTTTCTCCATAGAAGTGAGGGGCCTTAACCGAAGCTGTTCTGTTGTGCCAAGAAGTGTAATAGTTTACGTAAGTCGGTGTGTGTGTGTGTGTGTGCGTGTGTGTCACTGCGGCTGATTGCACCAATGTATTTATCAGTTCTCTTACTTACTTCCTGGTTGCCAATGTTCACGTAACTTTATGAGTGACTAGCTACTCCCGTGCAGTTTCACTTGCTGCTCGACTCCACTTCAATGTAGCGTGATGTTTTATAGCCTATAGCACTCAGAAACATTGTAGCTATCTATCAGTGAAAGAATTTTGGAAATCCGACCAGCGGTTCCAAAGATTACCCCCTACATACAAACTTACAAATACTTCTTTATAATATTAGTATAGAACCATCTTTAGTATCATTACTTAGAATGAGAATATCGATATCCATCTTTTTGACAGTTCAAATCTATACTTGCAGCTTTATTAAAGAGGGTTAAAATATAATATAAGATATATTATATTTCAACTTAGATATATTATACTAACTACAATATTTTGCATACACAAATCTATTTCTAGAAAGTATTTTACATTATCGTCAGCCTATAGGTACAATCTGCTGAGCAAAGGCCTTTTCTAAAACCGAGAATATTTGAGCGTTAATCACCACGCTTGTTCAAAGCGATTTCAAACTTATAATTCGAAATTATAAGTCCAGGTTTTCTCAACCGTTTAACAGTAATGTCTTAATAAACTTAGTAAGTACTTATACCTTGGATAAAGTCACAAAAGAAATGAGAAAGGCACGCCTTAACCTCCGGGCAATCGAGGCAACTATCAAGTAAAATATGTAATCAAATTTCAACCCTAAAGCAATTAAAATAAACAACCAATTATCATAACGAGACGGCTACGAACTAAGGCATAAGACATATTCATAAAAGTTATTTGATTAACAACGCGTGTGTGTCCTTACGGAGGTATGAAGTATGGTGTCGGGCGGTGCCACGGCGATGGGTTCCCGAGTAGGTACGATACGAATACTCGACAACGTTTTATCATAATATCGATTCTAATAGATGCAGAACGTATTTATATTTAAAGTATTCTCTTTCCAATGTTTATTAAAGAGATCGGTCTGTGGAGTTATGTTTTAAGTAAGCAACTCAAATTTATTGTGACGGAAAAACTGCTCGTTCGGTTTTTGGACCAATTTGGCAAAAGTAAAAAATCATATTTTTTTATTAGACGCTTTCAGATATTTTTGGACGTGAAACAAAATTTTAAAGATATAAAGGGTCAGTCTGTCAGTCAGTCCTCTTAGTGAAGCTATTTGCTCGTTCTAAAGAGTATCTATACATATGTAGCAATGCAATGTGTAGGCATATGTAGATAATTCAGAGTGAAAATTTATTGTAAATACAATATCTATACTGGTATTATAAAGAAGAAAGATTTTATAGTTTGTTTGTTAGTATTGAATAAATCCGAAACTACTTGACCGTATAATGTATCTATAGCCTTTGTTTTTGAGGGGAGAAAATCATCAAGTTACTGCTCGCACTCTGGGTGGGATGAGAGAACCGATGGTGTCAGACTCTTGCTGGCTAAAACCACCCCGCTTCTTCCCCTGCTCTGAGCCAAGGCCGTGGTATTCACGTCCTACATTCGAGAGCTATTTTTGGCAACTCTTAATAAGCAGCCATAGCAATAAAGTTCGCATTCAGATATAAACCTCGTTACCTCAAGTTGTAAAACCAGAAATGGCCATTGTTACGTTAATTAACAGAAACGAAAACTACATTAGAAATCATAAAACGTCTAATTCTTAGTTAGTGAGTGTTCGGTAAGCACGCAACTTTGTCCCCCCGCCCCTAACATCGCCCACTGTGCATCGCATTAAAAATTATACAAACAACAGTAGACTTGTTCTGTTCACTGTTTGTTTCATGTTACTCACACTTTGCAATGCGAAATTGAATTAATACTCGCTTTGTACTTCTCGACAACGAAATTGCCCGTTCACTGCGAGCCTTGTTTGGTTAGTCAATCAATTTCGAATATTACTTAAGTTCGCTCGAACTTTGTACTAATACAAGTTCGGTAATTAATTAAGTCGAACGTTTTATGTTTGTGTTAATCTTCACTGTCATGACTGATATCGACTGCGGTCTAATACAAGCGATCCAACTCGAATATTGTTTTATGTATTTGCAAATGGCTCCCCTAAACTCGAAAAACGAACGCCAAAACACGTTCATTGTGCTCTATTCTTGTCACTGTCAAATAATCAACAAGAAAATCAACGCGTATTCGTCGGCCCGTTGTTTTACTTAGTTGCGACAGATTCAATCAGTCGCACAACAAAACAAAATAGCGGAGAGGACGGCCGCGCCAACTGTCGCGTTTCAAAAAACGAACATCACAACACTAACAATGCGGTTCAAATATGACAGATGTCAGATTTGCGCGTTCGGGCGGCGAGCGCGCGCCCCGATTGGTCGGAAACACTGCGTTTAAATATTATTCGATTGTGTCGAGAGCCGATCCCGCTGTTTGTTACATTGGATTGCTCGTAATTACATTATTCTGCGCTTGTATGACGTCTTTTGACTTTAATCGAGTGACAAATTGACTTTGCGTACGATTATTTTCGTAATTGAAATAACATTTCTATTTGTTACCAGGTCTGGCCGCTGGCGTGTCTATTTTTTTTTTATTGTAGTTAAAACAAGTTAGTGGTCTTCATAAAAGTTAATTGGCTTCATTCTCTTTATGAAAAAACGGTTCCATGACCTATGTGTGACCACTTACGTCGCTTCACAGGTGAACAAATTTAATTTTTATTACGACTTTGTTATCGCGGGCGACGGCTGGTGGTGGGGTGTGGGGGGGGGGGGAGGGTTGCTGGGACGAATTAACGTGTTATTGGGGTGAAATTAAAGCGGTTAAACAGTTCGTGCTCGGAATTGTTCAGCTAATTGGTCCCGCGACACACGCGCGCCGTCGCAAATAATCTAGTACCGAGTGCCAGTGTGTCTTAGTAAGTAATACTGTGTAATTAAATGGTTTTGTATATTTTCGGGCCACAATGAACATGTTATCTACTATTAAGTATTTTATAAACTTCAAAAATTAAACATGTTTAATTTTTAAAATACGTTTTTCATGCAAGTACCAATAAGACTTTTTCGAGTGATATGTGTTGTATTTATGACTACTTAGAAACCACTGACATACGGTGAAGGAAAACATCTTGCGGAAACCTGGACTAATAATTTTCTAATTACAAGTTTTAAATCGCCAATCCACCTTGAGCAGGCGTGGTGATTAATGCTCATATTTTCTCCGTGTAAAAAGAGGCCTTTTCTAAGCAGTGGGTATTTATAGACTGAAGATGTTATTTAAAATACATCTAGCCGTTGTTAATGTCCACAATACTTATTAGGTACCTATTACTAGAATCAAAGGTATTGAAAACATTAAATAATAAACCGAAAAACAAAAGGAGGTTGTAACGCCTCCATAT